AACTCTCTTGATATTTTCTTCCAAAGCATATTAGTATTTTTGCATGTTGTTGAGCTTGTTACAGTTATGAGAATAAACACCTCTCTCTTGCCCCCCCCCCTCCACCGGACCCATAAAATTTAATAGACACCTTGGGCGTTTATTCAGAGTACGGTATAGCCTGCAGTGCAGGCGTATTTTGAGTGGGCGTAACCTTGTTCGTGTTCGTAATGATTGTTGCAGTTGCCATCTTTGATTTTAGAAAAGAGAGTAGAAAAATAGTAACCTTTACGGTACCCATCTCCTCCTCTCTTTGAGAGGTTTCAACATGGCGCTTTAGCCAGCAAATTGCGCGCTCAAAGAAAACTAGGTAGGCAGGCTAGGTACGGTATAGGTTTGAAACCCTGACCCTGTTAGGACAACACCCTCAATTCTTTTAACCCTGTTTAGGACAAAGGACAAAATGCACACCGTCTTGTTTTAAAGCAATTTATTGGCAATAGCAATGGAGCAAACTCACGTTTTGTAGAGGGTCCCCAAAAGATTTTTTGGAATTGACTCTAACTCTCAGAAGAGTTCAGCATTTTTTCCATCTTTGATAGTGCACGTTAATCGGCAACTTTAGAAGCTAAAGGGTATTTCAGCTCCGGTATTTCAGGGGGGTGCACTTGGGTATTATTTGGGTGGGTATGTGCCGCCCGGGACTCCAAATTTGCACCCAGTTCTAAAAAAAAATTCCCCTAAAATTGATAGCCTTTTCTAGAAATGGGCCAATTTTTTATACCCCGTTCTAGAATTCACCTTCTCAAACTCATTAATAATTCATAAAGAAAATTCAAAGGAAATTAATGTTTAATGAGTGTTTGGATATCGGATGAAAAACTGCTCATTTTTGCATCCTTAATTTCTCCTTCAAAAATGATTTTGTTTGAGAAGAAATATCAAACATTCGACACAGTGTTTCATCACCAGATGAAACACCTCGAAGTTCGTCAAAAATACTCCGCTACGCGTCGTATTTTCAACTCTCTTCTCGGTGTTTCATCTG